CCTTGAAAAGATATGAGCAGAGCGAATCCAACAACATATAAAAAGGATTATACACTATGATCAAGTATGGTTTACAACAGCAATGCAAAGCGTTTAACATTCAAAAATAAATGTAATATACCAATTAACAGAATAAAATCAAGAAAACATGATCATCTCAATGAATGCAGATAAAGCATTTAACAAAAACCAACATCCATTCCCAATAAAAACTCTCAGCAATGTAGGAACAAAAAGGAATTTCCTAATCCCCTGGTAATGGGTGTCTGAAAAATCTACAGCTGACACATTTCTATGTATACATATATATAAAATGGTGAAAGACTGAATGCCTTTTACCTAAGATTAGGAACAAGAAAGGACATTCACTCTTATCAATTCTTTTTAACACTGTACTGAAGGTCCTAGTCAATGCAATAAAACAAGAAAGAGAAATGAAAGGTACACAGATTGGAAAAGAAGAAGTAGAAGTGTATTTCTATATATTTGCAATGAACAATCAGAAATTGAAGTTTAAAAATACCATTTCCAATAGCATTAAAAATATGAAATTCTTAGGGATAAATCTGACAAAAGATGTGCAAGACTTTTACACTGAAAGCTACAAAACATTGCTGAGAAATTTAAAAAGACATAAACAAATATCGAGATATACTGTGGACATGGATCAGAAAAAACTCAATATTGTTAAGAAGTTGATTTTCTCCACATCGATCTATATTCAACACAATTCCAATAAGAATAGCAGTAGATTTTTTTTTATTGTTGAAACTGGCAAACTGATTCTATGAAAATTCACATGAAAATTCAAAGGACTCAAAATACTCTGAACAAGACAAAGTTGAAGGGCTTATACTACTTGATTTCAAGAGTTACCGCAATAATCAAGATAACGTGATACTGGCATCAAGACAGACAAAAAGTGGGCCGGCCTGGTGGCGCACTGCTACAGTGCGCTGCTTGAAAGCGTGGTGGCGCTCCTGCCGAGGGTTCGGATCCCACATACAGACCGGTTCCCGCTCACTGGCTGAGCGAGGTGTGGGAGCAATACTGAGGGTTGCGATCCCATTGCCGGTCCCGGTCCGGTACGGGCGCGACACTGAGGGTTGCGATCCGTTGCCGGACACGAAAAAAAGACAAAAAAAGGAAAAAAAAAAAGACAGACAAAAAGATCAATGGAATAGCGTCCAGAAGTAGACTCATGCATATATGGTCAATTCATTTTTGACAAAGTTGCCATAGTAATTCAGGGGAGAAAGGATAGTCTTTTGAACAAATGGTGTTGGAACAACTGCATTCCATATGGAAAAGAAAAAAAACAAAAAACATTTTGATTTATTTTGTACCATATATGAAAATGAACTCAAAATGGATCACAGACCAAAATATAAACTTAAAACTATAAAACTTCTAGAAGAAAACACAGGGAAAAGCTTTGTGATTTTGGATTAGACAAAGATTTTATTTTATTTTATTATTATTTTTTTGGTCCTTTTTTTTTGAGACCGGCCCCACCGTGCCCAGCCAGTGAGCGCTGTAAGCACACCAGTCATCCCTATATAGGATCTGAACCCGCGGCGGGAGCGCTGCTGCGCTCCCAGCACCGCACTCTCCTGAGTGCTTTTCAAAAGACAGTTTTAAGAGAGTGAAAAAACAAGCCATCAGGCCGGCCTGGTGGCGCACTGCTACAGTGCACCACTTGGGAGCGCGGTGGCACTCCTGCCGAGGGTTCGGATCCCACATACAGACCGGTTCCCGCTCACTGGCTGAGCGAGGTGTGGGAGCAACACCGAGGGTTGCAATCCCATTGCCGGTCCCGGTCCGGTATGGGCGCGACACTGAGGGTTGCGATCTGTTGCCAGACACGAACAAAGACAAAAAGGAAAAAAAAAAAAAAAACAAGCCATGAACTGGGAGAAAACATTTGCAAATAACATATCTGGTAAAGGACTTGTAATCCAGAACATGTAGAAGAATCTCAAAACTCATTAAGAAAACCACTCAATTAAAAAGTGGGCAAAAGATTTGAATAGATGCTTCACTAAAGTAGATATATACATGGCAAATAAACATATGAATAGATGCTCAACATTATTAATCATTAGGAAATTAAAACTACAATGAGATACCACTATTGGTATCATACTTATTGGAATGACTAAAATGAAAAAGACTGTGCTGGGTATTGGTGAGGATATGGAGTAACTGGAACTCTCATATACTGCTATACTAATGTAAAATGGTACAACCACTTTGGAAAAGTTTGGCAGTTTCTAAAAACACCAAACATACACTTACCATATGACCTAGCCATTCTGCTCCTAGATATTTGCCCCAGAGAAATGAAAGCATATGTTCATCCCAAAGCTTAGACATAAAATGTTTATAGAAACTTTATTTGTAATAGCCAAAATTGGGAAACAATGCAAATATTCATCAATTGGCAAATGGATAAATAAATTGTTGTAGAATTTATACGATAGAATACTACTCTGCAATTTTTAAAAAGGAGTAACTATTGATATACACCAACATGAGTGAATCTCAAAATAATTATGCTTAGTGAAAAGAGGCAAAAAAGAGTATATACTGTATGATTCCATTTTTATAAAACCTGAGAAGATGCAAACTAACCAATGTTGACAGAAAGCAGATCAGTGGTTGCCTGGTGATTATGGCAGGGGAAGGTGGGATGGAATGGGATGGGAAGGAGGGATTATCAAGGGGCCTCAGAATATCTTCATTACCTGTGGATTCACTGGTATAGTACATATGTCAAAATTTACTAGATTGCCCAGTTTCAGTAAGTTCACTTTATTGTATGCCAATTGTATCTCAATAAATCTGTTTTAATTTTTCTTGAAAGGGAATTTTTTTTTTCCTTTTTGTCTTTTTTACTGACCGGTAACGGGATCGCAACCCTCGGTGTTGCGCCCGCACCAGGGACTGGCAACAGGATCGCAACCCTCAGTGTTGCGCCCGCACCGCGCTCAGCCAGTGAGCGGGAACCGGTCTCCACATGGGATCCGAACCCTCAGCGGGAGCGCCGCCGCACTCCCAAGCAGCACACTCTCCAGTGCGCCACCGGACCGGCCCTTGAAAGGGAATTTTTAAAAATCTGTTTTAAAAAACAACTCAATAAGTAAAATGATCACAAGATCTGAACATATACTTCATAAAAAAGATAAGCATATGAAAAGATGTTCAACCTCATTAGTTATCACCGAAATGCAAATCACAACTAGAATGAGATATCACTATACATTCGCTTAAATGGCTGTAATTTTTTTTTTCCCTCCCCCCTCCCAAATGGCTGTAATTTTTAAAAATACTGACAATACCAAGTCCTGGCAAGGACATGGAAGAATGGAATTCTCATTCATTGTTAGTGAAAATGCAAAATGCCTTGCATATTGCAAAATGCCTTGCATATTGCAAAATTTCAAAATGCCAAAATGTGAAGTAATTAAACATACACTTAACATAGGATCCAGAAATTATACTCCTAGATATTCATGAGGAATCAAAACAGCGTGGACATAGAAAAGCCTATACAAGAATGCTTTCAGTGGCTTTACTCAGGATTGACAAAAACTAGAAACATTCCAAATGTCTTTAAACTGGTGATGAATAAACTGGTTCATCCATCTACACAATGGAATAAATCTGTATGATTTATATGACATTCATAAGAAAGCAAAAATATAGGGACAGAAATCATATGAACAGTTGCTAGCAGTTGCTGGGTGGTGGTGGTGGGAGTATATTGACATGAAGGAGCATAAGCAGAGAACTTTTAGGGATCATGGAAATGTTCTAGATCTTGACTGCAATGGTGCTTACAAAACTGCAAAGTTCACAGAAATACACTAAAAATTAAGGGGTAAATTTTCCTGCATGTAAATTATGCCTCAAAAACCAGACTTGGATTAATTGTAAATGGATGAAAGTACACATTTTAAAAGACATGTGAAACATGCAGGTAAAGCATGTCTGGTGCTGAAAGAATGAGCTTTAAATCCAACAAGACAAGGAAATGCAACCTTCTCTCTTCTTCAATGCAAAGGCCACCTAAATGTTGAGCCAGGATTTAAATCACTGGGTTTCAGATGCTTGCTCTCATCTTTTTCCTGAGTTGTGCAGAAGATTCTGTCCACCCTGCTGCCCCACTTAATCTCCTTCTTCTAATGGAAGTAGCATTTACCACTCCAGGCCTATGTCTAACAACATAATAAAGAATTTAGTGCGTCTGAAGGTGACATTCCTCCTTTTGACTCACTTCTTTCCCCGAAGTGTCAAGATAATTAGACAAGGGGTTAGATGGGGAATAAAAAAGATGGGATTCAAGTTGCTGGAGGCACCATCTCTTGAATAGGATGCAGAACTAAGGGGCTGACCAGGGGGTTCACGCAGATTTCCAGGGCACTTTTTGCAGGCACAGGTGTGCAGCTCCTCAGATTCTGGACAGGTTCCAATTTGAGTAATTATATTCTCTTTCCCTTAGTAGCCCCTGCTGTTTCTGGTGGATACAGAATTCTTATTCACTTCCTGTACTAAACTATTGTGTAGAGTTGCTGCGCAGCTGTTAAACAGCTGCTATGTTCCTCTTCATCTATAGTCTCTAAAGCACTTTTTTTTTTCCCCCTTTTTGTCTTTTTTGCTGACCGGTAGCGGGATCGCAACTCTCGGTGTTGCGCCTGCACCATGCTCAGCCAGTGAGCGGGAACTGGTCTCCACATGGGATCCGAACCCTCGGTGGGAGGGCCACCGCGCTCCCAAGTGGCGCACTCTCCAGTGCGCCGCCGGGCCGGCCCTCTAAAGCACTTTTGGATGAAAGGTACTATATGAACATATTTTACTGTCACATATCAGTTGCCTTTCCACTTAGTAGGTTTTGTGCAGTTCTAACTATCAAATCCAGAACTGTATTCCACAGCACACCAATGTTTAATTTCTTGCCCTACCTGCTCTCCAACCCTCTCAAACAACAAATCTCTTACCACAAGGGTCCGTAAACAGAGAGTCCCTGCAGGAGCACGGGGGTCCAAAGCAGCCACAAGATCCCATACTTTAATTTTTCTAAAGATCAAAAAGGGGACAAAAATCTCAGTTAAAAGCAAAAGTAAGGGAACACAGGGAAAAAGAGCAAAAAATCATGGCAATAAATATGAATGGTGAATATGGTTTATACGATAAATCCAGCTCACAGGAATATATATAAGCTTTTATGTTTTGGAGACTTGGTTCATGTATTCATTCTTGGGTAGAAGTTACTGGTCTTAACAGGGGAAAATGTACGTGATTAACCTAAAAATGAGAAACAGGTTAGCTTTAACCAAACTGAAGATAGTTAATGGTGAAGTGATACCATACTTTGGGGCCAAGAGGAGATCTTAGAGATTAGACCTCTTGATAAGAGACTACTCACACCAAGAAATCTACAACTCTGAGGCATCCTCTTTCTGGTTAGTTCTAAGAAAGGCCCGGGTCACATGTACCAGGGGACTGGGGTCTATTTAAGAGCTCTGGACTTTACATAAGGAAACAGTTGTCTAGCCCTTTCAAAAATCCACCACAAGCCATGTCTCCTCAAGGTATAAAACAGATAAAACTCAAGAAAGGTGGGTACAGATTAAAGCCAGGGCAATGAGAAAATATAACCTTGATACAGATGGAACATACCATCACACCCTGAGCAATTTCCCAAGGGTATGACAGTGACGGCTGACTCGAATCAGAGGAATTAAGTCAGCCACACTTCCTACTGCTTGAGTTGGCTTAATGTATCAGTATTGCTAGCTCATGAACTAAGATAATGTTGTAAGCTAGTTTCTGATATTGAGAAAGCTGCCAATATTTGAAGTACAGCCTTCCACCCCCCAAAATCAGGCACCTTGACAAGAAGAAATGATAGAGTCCTTCATAAATGAATACTTTTTTTTTATGAGTTTACCCTGTGGTTAGTACTGCAGGACATGGGATCCATTCACAACATGAATGAATTCCATAACCACTGGAAATCATACTGAAGAGAATAACGATTACTGAACTTAGTATAACTGAAATGCTAAAAGCAGTGACAAGAGAGCTGTACTTTTAGGAACCACTTACAGAGACCAAAATCAAAGAAATCAAAATTCAAGATCCTACCACACTAAGCCCCAAAGATAATGCCTTTCAGTTTTTCTGTTTTATTAATAAGTTACCATTTTACACGTATATTATGTTATACTGGGTTTGTCTGGCTCTTTGCTTTACAGGGCAAAAGAGACATATAGCCAAAATATTAATGAAACCATGTGCAAAATAATTGGAAGAATATTTTAGAAAGGAGTTAACCAAAAAGAGGTGAATATATAGATTAGGCAAAACAAACATTATATCAGATCTTTTCTTTGAAATCTATAAGCTTTTAAAGACAAAGAAAGGTTATATTTAGCATCATAAACTGGGTGGGATTAAGATGAGAAATTTTTTTAAAGCCATGTTAGCAAACTCACCCATCATAGGCTCCACTGACTATCCTCTTGTTATCAAATCGAATACAACGCACCAACTCCTCATGTCCTTCTAACACTCGTAAACATGCACCACATTCTATGTCCCATAATCTGGAAGGAAAAAATTGAGTCAAGTGAATTTTTATGTATTTTTTTTAAGCCTGGAATGTTATAATAATATACTTTGTCTTTTAAAAACCCACAAAAATAAAATCAATCACCACCCACACAAAAATGTATTGCGTTCAATATAATTTATTTCCTCTCCACCGTATAACCCAGGCAGAAAAAATTTATGATTTAAGTTCAAACACAATATGTATTTCCAAAGCACAGTGCTTTATATAATTCTGTAACCAGGTTCTCCCAGGCATAAAAAGGATGAATTTGATACACATCATTGCCTGGGAAGGAAATGACCAAGCCAAGAAAGTAATGCTTCTGGAAGTCACTGATATGAATGACAGGCAGAGTGTTAGTGATGTCCTGCCCTCACAAAGCATCTCTACCCTTGGTACTGACAACACTACGCTTTTTTCTCACTGCCCAGGATAGTCTTTCTCATATCATGGAAATGCAAAGTCAGTTCTCAAAAACTTTCATATACTAATTTTTAAAATTGTATGCTTCAGACCAATTCAATTTTTAGAAATGATAATTTCATGGTGACTTTCTTAGATATAAAAGTAGCTCAGTCTGTTGTTTTTTTTAGTGTCCTTTTCATCCTCTTAGTATTTCACTAAGTACTCACTTAGTATTTAGTATTAGGAAGGGAGAAGATGAGTAACTCCTCCAAATGCTAATCATATCTGTGTCATTCATCTTTGTGAAGGAAAAACACCAAAAAGTACTTCAACTTGTGGAATCTTCCTAACTTCAAAGACAGGAAGCTCTGGCCTATTGTGTAATGCTAAGACAAAACTGCACAATTTCTAGTAGGGAAACAAATCTTTTTTCTTTTCTTTTTTTAACAAGTGGCAATGAGAAAAGGCCTTAGTTATTTATTACCTCTTTTTAACTGTAGACAGGAAAACTTTAAAAAGAAGGGCCTTCAACCTCCATCTACCTCTTTCTTGTTCACTTCCTCAATGAATAGCAGTATCTTTGAAATAGGTCTATCTGGTGATAAAACTACTACAGGAAGGAAACACATAACAAAAGGCTTTGTTGTGCTGCCTCTCTGTAAGAAGCTACAGAAAGGAAAACATTCAAGTATAAACATAACACAGTTGAAGATGTGTATGATCTGTGCACAAATAACGATGGGAGGATAATATTGTTTCCTTCTGGGAAAAGGGCAGCTGCTGCTCACCTGATAGTGTTGTCAGATGAGCCACTCACTACTAGCCTGTCTCTGTACTGCAAACAGGCAATGCCTCGTTTGTGTCCATTTAAGGTCCTTACAAATTCACAAGTACTTGTGTTCCATACCTGAAACAGAAAACAGCTTTGAGCAGTAGATTTGGTACTTTTATTGGTAAAATCTATGGCAACTGGAGTCTTAGGGAAGCAGAAATCAGAACCACTAGGAGGAAGTCAGCTTCTTAAACAAAACAAAACACAAGTTTAATTCATGGTAATATAGGGCTAATTTGTAGCTGGCTGCTATCACATGACAATTCCTTGAATTGATTTACTCTTACAGGGTTATAGTCTGGTCTTGCAGATACATTTTCTTAAACCTAAATTTACCCCTGTCCCTCTCACACTCACCATTATACCTAGGAAGAAAATATCTAGCCCGAATTGTCACACAACTTGTCTCATTACCTTTTTACTCTTAGACTAGTCTCTTAATTAAATATTAAGTTATTTTACAGTGATGTTTAAATATGAAATTGCCCTTGATCAAATTTTCACATGAACTCCTCTCTTCTAAGTTAGCGACTTACTGAAAAATACCTTATTACCTTTATAGTTCTATCCCCGGATGCAGAAACGATGTACTTGTCATCAAAGTCTACAACATTGACAGCAGCTCGGTGTCCAACCAGCACCCTCCGGAGGGTAATGTCAGTTGGGGAGGCCATATCCCACACAGCAATGGAACGATCTTTGGAGCAGGTCACCATCATGCCATTATTGAAACGCAAGTGCAGAACTGCTTCACAATGGTGAATCAACGTGTTTAGCATTTCACCTGTATTTACATCCCACACTCTGGAAGGGATATCTGAGATTTAGATGGTGCTCAAGCTAAAATCTGTTACCCGTATTTGACCATCATGCTCCCAATCACTCCCTATATTTTCATAGGAAGTGCTATCCCTACACTTCTTTTGCAGCATTAAGGTTGAGCTCAGGCATACAGTACTGATGGATGAACCATGGGGAAGCTGTGGCTAGAGAAAGGGCTGGACTGGGAGAGTGGGAGAAGGAAGGGGGTGGAGTGCTGCCAGAGTGAAGTCCTAAAGACACAATGCTTGAAATGTGGGCAAATTGTGGAGGGCAGGGATGAGGTAGTAGCCACCGTCACCTAGTGATCTGGCCATACTTCAAGATGATTACTAAACTTCTGACATTCAATGTGATACCATTAATAAGACACATTCTAAGTGGGGAATCTGATTAATTATAGCAGCATTAGTGCCCATCCAACTGACAGCCCCCAGGAACCAGAACTGACATAGGCCAAGATGCTTCTGTCACAGACTTAGTAATGTGGACTTGAATTTGATTACACTGGATCTTAGGTTTCACCACACAGGTCAAAAGCCAAGATTACTCAGACTCTAAATCTAAGCCCCCCTTTCTGTGCTTCAAAGAGTCAAGAATAGCCCTTTATTAGTATATATGGGCTTCACAGAACAGTGTGGGACACTTGGATAGTGTGAGAATTCTGTGTGATGATGTATTTTATTTTATTTTTTGTGTAATTACTTTGACTTTTATAACATTTCCTTTTTCCAATTTAACCCCCTTTTTTAGAAAATCATTTCCCCCCTTATCCTATAAATAATGTTAGCATCTACAATGTTTCAGCTTCCATGAGACACTCCACAAACAACAATAAATGTTAAATGTCAGTAACTACAAGGACTAAGTTTGCTATGCCTTTAAGTCAAAAGACAAGAAACAGGAACAGCCTTTTCTATTCACAGAGGATAACTTGGAATGGTAAACATTTAACTTCAGAGAATCTAACAATGCACTTAAGTGCTTTTTTTCCTAATTTTTTTTTAAAGTTACTTTTGATGCGTTATGTTTGCTAAATCCTTTAGCTAAAGGCGAAATTCCTGAAAGAGGTTTCCAGCAGTGCTGCTGGTACCCAGAACTCAAACTACACTGGACTCCAGCAGCATAATGGCTGTGTCATCAAATCACTAACGCCTCTGGAAATTGAAGGACCCTCCCTGAGTGAAGCTTGCAATTAAAAACTGCAGGGACGGCAGGGGAGGGGCTGCCAAAGAGAGAGTACTGCTTGCTTTCCTGTACACATTTTAAAGGAGACAGTGCATGCCTGCGCTACAGTTATAACCACCTGAAAGGAAGGCTTCATTCCATTCATGTCATTCCCCTGTGAGGTACTTGGTTTTTGTAAGGAATGCAATGTTTACCATAAAGATGAGAAAAGTTTCTATAATGGATGATTCTCCAAATTAAAACAATGTGTAGTTCCTTAAATGTGCAAAACTGTAAACTTACCTCAATCATTCCTAAATCAAATTTTCTAGTTCTAGATTGACACAAATGATGGGGGAGCTGACGGTTTATTCTTCTTTAGTTTCAGAACTGTGTTCATGCAGATACATACAAAATTACTATCTATGACAAAGAACAGAGCAGATCTAATGTTTCAGAGTTCAAAAGAGCATTTGAAATTTTCTACCTGACTGTGGAATCCGATGATCCAGTTATGATCACCCTCTCGTCATACTGGAGACACAGGACAGAACCTGTGTGACCTGTGAGAATTCGCTTGCATTCCAATGTGCTTTTATCCCAGATCTAGGATGGCAAACAAGATCCTTTTGATCACTATGATAATGGGGTGCTGTGGAGACTTGTTGGTTCTATTATGTGTTTGATGCCCCCAACAAAGAATCAAAGTCCAGAGTAGTGTGGAATGCACACTTTTCTATAGGTATAGCTAAGTACCTACATATGTGGCTTCAGTACTAATGCAAACTTTATCTTTTTCATTAAGGAACAGGGGTAGCCTATAATTATGTGAGGGCCAAAAGAGTAATAGCCCATTCAGAACACTTCAAGAAGAGAATTTAACCCTAGGACTATCCATTTATATGTTCTTCTGGGGGGAAGCAGATAGATGTCTGTCCTTTAAGGAAATGATTTTGGCTTTGGGACTGGAAATAATCTAAAATTCTCACTTAAAGTTACCCTTTGGATTGCTTTATGAATATGGTTACCCTCGCTCCCTCTGCTACACTACTGCAACGGAAGAGACCTCACCTTGATTGTGTTGTCTCGAAGGCCGCTTACTATTTTCTGATCATCATATTGTAAACAGTAAACTCCTTTGCTTGTTTCACTTCGGCAGTGGATTCTCTGTAAACTATGTCTTCCACATCTCCAGTTAGATTCTATTGTCTGGGAAGAAGGAATAGCAAAGAGGCAGTAATTAGAAAAAGACCAGAACCAAATTCTTCTCTGACTTTAATGGCAATCAAAGGCTCAATGCTTCACTTTATGGGATGTAGAGAACTTAAGGCTTAAAATATGCTTTTAAAAAGCTACTATCTAAATTTACACAATATTTTTACATTTGCAAGGTAATTAAAGATTTATTTTCTAGAACTCGCCTGCATATAACTCGTTCAATTAAATAATAAATCTGCAACAAGAGAGGGCAAGCTATAAACTACATGAAGTTATGAGTTCAGTGCTCTTCTTATATATGTGGTAGCCATTCCTACCAATGAACTCTGATTGAGGTTCAATTCAGAGGATATTTGAGTATCGGCTTGTCAGTACAACTTTAACAGTCTCATTGCTATTGTACGAAAGCTTCATTTTCTCTCACTCTCTTATCTATTTATCAGTAAACAATTTTTAAAAGCTTTAAAGACCTTTCACCAATTTACTATATTTTATTTATCTCATTCACTTGTAAAGAGATTGATTTTTAACCCATGTCAATACACCTTAATGGGTTTGTTGTAACAATTCTGTTACTGAAGGATGCTGATGCTTCTCTACCATTTGGTAAACACACCAAATATGTAGATTCTTACCTCAATGTCTTGTATAATTTTAGGATAAAGTGCTCTATAAAAAGAGTTGGGTGGTGCATTCCCATCAGGAGGTTTGTTTTTGAATAGATACTGTCCCCTAAAAAACAACAAATATTTCCCAATGAAAATCATAACATTATGCATTAACAAAGAGCTTCGTATTTCTTCAGAGTGTTTTCACAGTTCCTATTCCATGTAATCACCATAACTAGCCTGGAGAGGTGTGAAGTTAAGCCTGATTTTAGGAGTCCCGTGTCAGGGAGTAACTTTCTGGGCTCTGAGGAATTCAACCAACACTGATTTGCTTTTGGGTAAAACATGATTATCTTCAGTGTAGGACATCAGAGTACCAGGCCTTTAGGAATATAAGGTCAATACAGAAACAGAATACATATAATCAGAATTCATCTATTGGCTATAGACTTCTGCATAGATTTGTTGGCCTTATCTTTCGAATATTTTGTTAGTGATGGTAACTCTTTCCTTTGAATTAGCAAATGACCCATAGTCTTTTTTTTTCATCGAGTAAAGCTATACCACTGTTAGTGGAGCTTAGCATCATGGGCAGCAGCAATGCCTTTGTCATGGAGATCACTTTTTCTAGTCTTTTTGTGTGGGGTAAGGTGTGTTGGCTGCTCAGTCACCCAGGCTGCTGGTGATCAGTGTCGCTATGCTTTAAAAGGAGCAATTCAGTTCATTTCAACAGAAAACAAAGGGATCACAGGAGTGTCCAGCAGCAGGTAGAAAAGAAGATAAAAAGAAATGCCTAAGAGCACTGTGCTCTCAAGTCTAAGGCATGAAATTGACTTTCACAGGTGTGTTCCTGGCTATGTACATATACACATGCATTTTACTGCCTTTCCTGATTCCAGAGAGCAACATTTGTTAGCATCTCCTTCCTTATGACAGCACATCTCTGGAATACTCATATCCCAAGCTAGATTTTTGCTACAAAAAAAAAATCAGTAAATGGCAATCACTTCCTGCTGGGTAAAAAATTTAATTCCTCATCCTGAAGTTAAGAACCCACCAAACACGGTGTGGAAGCTAGTAAACCCCACTATGGGTGTACTAACTGCTGTTCTCACTGGCACCGTGCCTTGCAAAGTGGAGACAAGCAGAAATGCCTCTGAGTGTAATCCTGGCACCAGAGAAATCATGTTTTCTCTGGGCCAGTCATCCACTCCTCCCTCTGTAGCTCCATTACAATATAATTAATTGTTTGATGTCTCCAGGAGTGCTTCTCCCCTGCCCTCTCTGTATTATACCCCTTGAAAATTAGTTGAGAAAATTTCCTATCAGGAAGGTAGCTGGCTCCGACTTCTGTATTAATACAAAAAAGAAAATCTGCAATGGAGAAACGAAAATAATAGTTTTTTAAAAGGGGCTAATGAAACACGATATACCAGAATAAAGGAAAGAGCAAACAAGATACATTATGAAATAATTCTGGATTAAAGGTACACTTCCCTAAACAATCTTATTCTATAAACACGTTGCAGCCAAATAATAGACTCTGAATGAAGATTTTAGTCTGACTCCATAACCTACACTCATAATTACTTGGTTTCTCAAGCCCACCATTTCCGAGACTCCTGTCCTCCTTTTAATCTGTGGCAACTGTATACAGGCACTCCAGGATTTTCTTTGAGTGCAATGATACTATCTCTACATCCTAAGGAAAGTGAACTTATAAAAACTTCTGATCTTGTTTTCTACCCCACTGCATTTACCATGCCTTGCTAAAGTATCTGAATTCTTCAAATCAAAGTTGCTACAAAAAGGAGTGGCTAGGTGTTGAAAGCTGTCTTTCAGTCTTTATCTGTGTTTTTAAGTCAAAACCTTTTATGATGGAAGCTCTTTGACAAAGGACTACTTCTATGTGAAATGCCTAGCACTTATGAGAATGTGAGTATATGACAAATGTTAAATATTAAATTTAGAATATTATCATAAAATGTGATCTGCTGATTTAAAAAATGGACTTTACCCAAGTGGTCTTTCCTTATACTTTTAAGAGTTATCATTACTGAGTAGACAAAGCATATTCAATATTATTCAAGAGAGAAAACAAGAGTTCATCTCCTAGGGGTGGACTGCTAAATCCATCTAGACATAAAATACAACAGCAAAGTGGAAGTTAAATCTTAGAGACCCAAAGCTTTATAAGAAAACTGTATTTACCTACTTATTTTAGGTTGGAAGAAATGTAAGAAACTTTCAAAGATAGCATATAGGGAAAAGTATAACAGAAAGAATTTATTGACATAGTGGGCTTGATAAAGACAATTTGAAATAAGAAAATGAGAAACTGATAACAGATTGAATTTTTCAAGAAGTAAGGGGAGGGCAACACAGGAAGAAAGGTGACATGTAAAAACAGAAGTAGCAACAGTAAAGTCAACGGCATACTGCAGGAGGTCTGCTTGGGGTGGACAAGTATGTGTAATTTCATAGGGCTATGACAAGTTGGGAGGATAAATGTGGCCAAAGATAATAGAATATAGTCAGAACTTTGAAGGATACTCAAAAGAGTAGGAATGGGTTTATGTGATTGAAGAGACAGTGGGAAGAGTAGTAATTAGTTCTGGATCCTGAACTATTTCTATTTCTCAGCTATACCTTCATATACCTTTTTTTAAAAGGCCCCAAACCCATTTTTTAATGATATTATTTGTTTTTTTCTTTGTAACTAACTTAACAGATCTTGCTGTTTAGTGCTAACCCTAAGCAAAGGGGAGCCTACTTTTACCTTCGGCATTTTCATATCCATTTGCCAAGAACTGCCCACTTACTGCTTGTTCTCCCTACCTTCAAAAAAGGACTTAGTAAACTCCCAATGTCTGATGAAGGTTTACTGTCATTTACAGTACAAATGGGAACAAAAGTGTATTTTAACAGGGAATAAATCTTTATGGCTAAGGGAATGAATCTCTATAACTGAAATTTCAGGTCAGGAGTTATTTGGAGGGGAGTTTCTTTTCTTTCCTTTACTTCAGAGGGGTAGAGAAATCTTTCCAGCTGCCCTAAATTTTCCATGTAAGCAAATCCCTATTCTATTTCTAAGGCTGGTTCTGGCACTCTAAGCAGAATGATGAAATCTGAATGTCATGTAATTATATACTTATTTGCTTTGTTATGCCATTAAAGAATTTATTTCCGAAGTATGAAGTTGGTTATAAAAAATAAGGTTTCTATTTTTCTACACAATGAAATAAGTGAGAATAAAAAAATATATTTGGGAAGAAAAAAATAATAATATTATTTTATTTATGCAACTGTTACATAGCTAAAGAAATTCCCTGGTATTTGGTTCCTTTAACTGAATTTAAGAAAGAAATTTAAAAAGTATTCCTAATAGCCTAATTAACATTAGATTTTAGCCTAATAGCCTAAAATCTCTGAAGCACTTGGTATAATATTTAGAGGTAATTATATTTATTATGTCTTAATAAATTTCAAAGACACACAAAAAGCAAGGGAACCAACTATATTTTTATTAAAATTCTAAGGAAAGCTGATCCGTATGAATATTTATCTTTTATAAGTAACCTCCATTCTTAACTGTTCTGTATCTCTTTATGATGTAAGATAAATAATTCATAAAATAATCTGAAAGGATATCATTGAGCACGCATATGCATATTATCATTTTTTCTATCAACTAAAATAATGTCATCTTTATTTTATTTCTGAACTATTCATAAATAAATCTTTTTTACAGTGACATTCTAGAGACATACTCTGAGAGAAAATTATATAAAGAAAGAAATCTTCCAGAAGTTTTGATGAAATGGTGCCCTTATGTTAAGAAAACAGCAAATTGGCGAAGTCTCTTAGGCTCCTAACTATATAATGCCTTAGGGAATCTTGAGAAAGTCTTGAAAAAATATAAGTCTTAAGAAGAAACAATGACTTATGCTAAACTTAATTTTTCATTTTTTCAGATTTCTAGAGTTCTTATTCTAGTTGGGCATAAAAAATAATCTTTGATTACAAAGGTGATAAAATACCTGAGGTGTGGACTGAAGAAGAAAACACTTTGTCCTGGATTATTATTATTATTTTTTATTATTAACACTTTGTCCTGGATTATTATTATTATTTTTTTTTTTTGTCAGTTAGCTGGTACGGGGATCCAAAACCTTGACCTTGGTGTTACAACACTGTACTCTAACCAACTGAGCTAACCAGCCAGACCTTTGTCCTGAATTATTTTAGGGGAAAGATGGATCTGATGGTTTCTATGTGATTCAAAGTCATCAACTTGCCTTATAAATTGCCCATCAGCCCTTTTGCAAGATACCAATTTCTGCCCAGAAAACAATGCTTTAGACAATAGTTTTTCATTATTTTTTGAAAAGCAATATTAACACAATATCATGTCATTTTATGAGTGATTGGTGAGAAGAAAAACTGCTGAGTTGCTAAGAACAAACTATTCTCCTTTACATTTCTATCTACAAATCAGCAAAATCTCTATATTAAATGAAAAGTGGTCTCTCTGGCCACCAGCAGTCTTCCAATGACTCTGAATGGCCAAGTCCTGAAGCTCTATAATAGTAAAAAAGTTAGAAGTCTCACCACCCTCTTCGTTCTGCCAGGCCTCTCCACAGAGAATCTGTCCTGACCATTCTCTCAATGAGCTTCTTCCATAACATGCCATCAGATGTCACTCGGTACCATTCCTTGCACACAAGTTCAGCAGCACATAGTGATTTGGCATCCAGGTATGACAGAATGTTCTCAGCAATATGATCCAAACCCCGAGCTTATGGTGGGGGTAAGAGGCAAAGAAAAAGAACATAGAGCGTAGTGAATGATTTTTTACAAAAAAAAAATTTAGGTCCTCTAAAACATAACAGCATTTATTCTGCTATGAAGGCACATCATTGTCCCGTCCCTAGTGTTGTCCAGTTTTTTTCTAACAGGGGCTTGGGTAAAATGAGTGTCAATAATTTTTCCATTAGGTTATAGAAATGAACAGTATTTTCCATCTTCCTTTAGATAAGGAACTTAAAGCTAACAACCAGCAAACCCCCCAAGACATTAAAAATAAAAAGGATTCCAGAAAACAATTCACATCTATCTATATGGATTTCAGCACTAGGGGATGTTCTGTGGATGACATCTCAAACTGTGTGATTCAGACCCCCCCAAATCTCTATATTAGGTCCATTTCTCATTTTGTTTCTATTACTGCTGTAGTTCTAAAGCAGTTCAGTAAAAGAAATAGCCTTTAAATGTACTGGGGGAGAGGCACTAAGTCAGAATGTGCTGGGTTATAGAATTTTGGGCATGCAAAAAGCAGAGAAGAAGGAAGTACAGACTGGTGTAGGAACATCCCACAAGGAAAAACAAAGAGGTATGTTCAAGTTCAAGGATGAGTTTAATTTCAGATGTTTAAAAAAAAAAAAAAAACAACACGAAAGCTTGTATTTGAGAATAGCTGCTACTATAAAACCTAAATGACAGTTGACCAAAAATGAAAAAAATAGATAACTTGGTTAGCATTTCAGAGAATATTTTGTAGGATGTGCAGAGGAAAAGAGTGGAGAGTAGACGGTTGTGCTGTGTAAACCAGATGGGCTTCCCATTTAAAGTTCACTATCACCCAAATCTGTACTGAGGCCCCAGGGGAAAAGACCCAATAAAATAGGATCATCCCACTAATAAACCTTCTTTTGGCTGTTGTTCTAAGTTCACAAGTGAAACAAAAACACTCAGAATTATTTCTCTTTATGGGTTACATATCAGAGGATTTTGAAAGACTTAAATATTTCAGAAGAATTCCTTCATACTCTGACTCCTATAGGCACAAATTTAACAAAGTAGGAAAGAGAATACCACATTTCATTTTATGCCTTTCCCCTGAATCACACAGAAACACAGTTGGACACCATTAACAACAATTCAAGTGCTTAAACATTATTCCAATTATAAAAATTGTAAGGACAGCAGTCATATTTTTCAGCAGACTTGGGAAAGAAAGCATTAAGTGGATCTTGTTTGGCTGGCATCGCATGTTCATATTTAAGCATAAGCAGATGGAGGCATCCATCATCTAATTCTTATTAAAGGAACATGACTATAAGCCAATTAAAGATATAATAATTAATTCTTCAAAATACAGTGATGGTACAATTCCTGAATCTTTATATTGAAACTTTCTATACCATCAGAAGTTTCCAAAATGCATTCCTGTGTTTTTAATGGCTGCCATCAAATTGCTCCTGATCATTCACTATGTACCTATAATAAGTCTTTGGAAGTAATTTCACCTAACACTCTAAACAAACCCATTACATTAATGGATTACAGGCATTTTCTGAAGTAGTTTGGTTTAGTAAACGTAGCCAGATGGTGTAGGTTTATAAGTTTAAATGGCTGTAAAGCATTAGAACGATGATTTAATACCTCATAGAGTGGTCAGCAGATACCGACTAGGGATCAGTTTTAGGCAAAGGATACACAGGTCTAATCAACCCCTGTTCAATTCCTAGTGGTTATAAACTTGAGATAGTAGCATGTCTCAGTGATTGGGGAGAACACAGTAATGAGGTACACACAGATTGTTTGTACAAAGAAAATTGCCTCTGGCTAAAACAAAATCCAATGAGAAAAGAGGGGGCAAAAATCTATTTAGCAAAATATATAGGTAAAATTCAGTTTTAAGGTGGTTATTTCTAAGATAAGGCATTTCTTTTGTCTTAAAGTGCAATTTATTTATTTTTATTTTTTATTTTTTTCCTTTTTGTCTTTTTTTTTCGTGACCGGCAATGGATCGCAACCCTCGGCGTTGCGCCCGCACCTCGCTCAGCCAGTGAGCGGGAACCGGTCTGTATGTGGGATCCGAACCCTCGGTGGGAGTGCCACC